ATGTCGGAAGAAGCCATAGGCCGTTTCTTGGACTGTGCTCATGTTTAAACTTAGCCTGTATTTGAGCTCACGGAGACAGTACTGGGACAGGCATACTCACAAAAATGCCAGACTTGCCTTTGACAGGAACTATGTTTACTAGCAATGTACTGGTTTAGAAAGTAGCTGCCATGAAATCAGTCACTTATTATTTAAGGTGAGCATGGAGAAACTTCCCTTTTATTTAACCATTGCAAAAAATTTTTTTTTTTTTACCTTTTCCTTTTTTTTTTATTAATTTTGATTAACCATTTTTGTTTTTTGATTGGTTTCCTTTATTTTTTGGGTTCGTTGCTTTTTATTTTGAAGGAACCTTGTTTTTAACTTTTTTTTTTTTTTTTTTTTTTGTTTTTTTGGGTCTTTTGGTCTTTTGGTTATACACATACACACACACAAAGGCATGCAAACTTCACCATGGCAAAAGTTTAAATCCAAAAACATTGAAAGATGCTTCAGCAAACACTATTTATTATACATACACGACATAATATTCCGATGTAGGCATGCAGAGATGAGGTTTTAAAAAAGAACATAGACGTGTGAGCTATTCACTGTTGCCCATATTCACAACAAGTTCGCACTCAAGTATGTTTTGTGCAACCACCTGCACACGCTTGCAGACTGTGGGATGTAAATTTTCAGGCTTGAGAAGAAATGCAGGATGGAGGAGCAACCTCAAGGACTGCAGCAGAACACACAAGAAAAGATAATGAGAAAGATAATGAGGAAGGAAATGTAGGAGGACAATGAAGTGGGAGAACGGTAGAATCAGTCCCATTTCTATACGTGCACACGCTCTTTTGCCATGAAGCGCGTGTGAAGCAGGTAATGGTTGGGCAAGCGTTACATGCCCGCCTATTTTAAGCTTGGATATCAGCTTGTTACTTGACTGCTTTGCGCTAGGGTGTGAAGTGTGCTCTGACATGTGTTCAGGAGGCGGGGTGATGTGAGAGGTGTGTATATGCGCGCGTGTGTGTGATATACATATGTTCAGTTTTGCTTACTTTCTGTGAATGCTATGTAAATGGATACAAGTTCTGCAGCAAGCTGTCTGTGGCTGGTTGTTACTGTTGAGCTGGTGATTTGTTAAGTGAACCTTTTGCTTATCTATCATCTATCCTTTCATCTATCATTTCTGTTCACCCACTCTCTCCTGTGTTTTTCCATTTGGACATGAAACGGGAAGATGTAGTTGAATAAAGATAGACGGTAAGAGAGAGGCTGATGGAGATCATGGATAGAGATGGTGCGATAGGGCGAGAAAAGGAAATGTGGGTGCCGTGCGATAAAGCTTCAGGAATATATGGGAGGGAGACAGGCCGGCAGATAGGGAAATAGATCGGTGGCTGGGAGGGATGGTGATGAAGTGATGGAGAGTGTGAGGAGGAGGAGGATGTGTAAGGAGGGTGTCTGAGCTGAGTGCAGGGGGGGGGGGGGGAGGGATGAGAAGGGGAGGGAGAGGTGAAGGAAATGGATAGAAATAGCTGATGCACTCTGAGGCTTACAGAAAATCAATAGCAGTCAAGAGGGGAAGCCACAACCCCCACCCTGTTCCCTCTCTCTGGCTCTTCTCTCTTTCTCTCTCTCCCTCCACTCGTTTTTCTTCCACTCCGTGTCTCTTCCTGTCTCCCTTTCCTCCTCAGTGGTCTCACCTTTTCATGCATGTTTCCAGCCCTGTCCTCTTCTTCTGCACCTCCCTTTTGCCCTTTTCTTGTCACCCACACTTCTCTCTCTCTCGTTCTCTCTCCTCCTTCACCCTCTCCTGCCAACATTGTTGTGCTGGTTTCGTGAAACAAACAACTAAAGTCGATGGCAATTTTCTGCAGCCACGGGGAAGGCGGGGCCTGCAAACTATTCATTCTCCACATAGTTACTTAAGCTGGCATTGCTTGCAATCATTTGTCCTTCATTTAGATAGGACCTTTTTAAATTTCACACAGCAGGAAATGGTTACTGCACACTCAGTTCATTTTTTTAAAAGTTTTTTCAAAAGTTTGTTTTGTGACTTTCAAAGAGAGAAGAGATGAATTGTGGTGCTTTAAAGCAGTACTTTGTGTCTTTAGTATTATAAGTCATAGTTTTTCATATCATCTGCTTCACACAGCAGACATTTAACCAACCAATTCTCCATCACGATGCAGTCTGTTGACCTTATTATTCTAGCAACTATATATCTTACTGTGTTCGACTTCTTCTTGTTCAGATAGCTATGCAAAATTCAGTTTTAAACACAAAATCACCTGAAAGTTAAGTTTAAAAAACTTTGCAGCCTATTGCTGTTTTGCCACATGTATGTAAATATTACTTCACAAATACTGGTTCATTATGCTTTTAACCAGGTTAGCTGTTTTTCCAGCTAACCCTAGCCTCTTGTATTTGTACACTGACTGCTTCATTGGCCAGACTGCTTTTGTTTTAGTC